AATCTATGAAAGGCTTTGGGGAACATATGTGATTTTTCTTGTGTTAGTTTTAGTTTTCGAGTGAGTTAATTTTTTTAGATTAGCCTTACCGATGACAAAAACACACACACCAAAATGTGTCCCTTTTACAACAGCGGAATATATTATGAGGAAAATATGCTAGAAAATATAAAAGCAGTCCGCTGAAGATAAATGTAGTTTGAAATGACTGAAAAAAAAAAAAAAAAAAAAAAGAAGTCGTCTTCACAGATTATCAGTTAGCCAGAAAAAAAAAAAAAAAAAAAACAAATGACTCAAACTGGACCATCTCCGTAACATGAAAAAAAAAAAAAAAAATTGCAGGGTGTATGAAGATGAAGGTGACAATGAGGTAAAAAAAAAAAAAAAAAAAAAAAGATGGAATCAAATAAACAATGACAGGGTGAAAAAAAAAAAAAAAAAAAAAACACTAAGTCGAAAGTTCTGGTCTCTATCATCTTTAAAAAAAAAAAAAAAAAAACCTAATGGTAAATATCACATTGATGCCTCCCTGATTAAAAAAAAAAAAAAAAAGAGTTAAAAGACTTGGAACTAAGTTGTCCTAATTCAGAAAAAAAAAAAAAAAAACCTGCAGAGTACATGGATATAAACGAAACAAGCTTGGAAAAAAAAAAAAAAAAAGCCGCTGGCCAAGTTGCTCATTACSCGCCACTTCATCAAAAAAAAAAAAAAAAAGAAGTGTCAAGGGATCATGTGACAATAGAAAAAATCAAAAAAAAAAAAAAAAAAGGCCAGGTGGCAAAGGGAACGGCTACAGACCTTCGCGAAAAAAAAAAAAAAAAAACGGTAGCCATCAAAATGCTTAAAGGTAAAGCTTTACAAAAAAAAAAAAAAAAATTCAGAAAAGTTTTACTATTCGGTCACATGTACAGTTAAAAAAAAAAAAAAAAAGAATAGTTAGCTAAAATTCGATACAGTTCCTTTGAAGAAAAAAAAAAAAAAAAACTCCWTGTWAAATGTAATGGGAGGCGGCGTGGCCGAGAAAAAAAAAAAAAAAAAATGTAATCCGGTGTCTTGGTT